TGAATTCATTTTAAGTTGCCAAGAAGATTTGAGTATTTTTGTTATTTTCTAATTTTATAGCCTTGATTTTGTGCCTCATTTTTGGATAATGGTTTAATGCAAGGCGTATACTATGAGTACAATAACTAATAAGAAAGAAATATATGAAGGAGAGCCAATGAAATTTTCTCATAAAATATACTCTTTTTATTGTGTAATAATTTAGACATTATTTCATTTAATAAGCTAACAGAATACCTCAATCAAAGGCTTTGTATGAATTAAAAATCATCATCCACATGAAGGAACTTCCTATATTGTCCAGTCAAATTAATTTTAAATTAGGAAATTCTCAAATGAATAAATGATAATTTTTAAGGATCTATAAATCAATTTTCTTATAGTATGATTTATAATTAAAGTTTTGGAATAAATTCTAGTCTTATTTTTAAATTGACTATATTTTTGTTTGGTTATTAAATTCTTCCAAAAAATAATATTCAAGTGCCTACTAAAAAACAACCTTTTCTCATATGATAAACCCATTAAATTTTATGTTTAAGAAAATCAAATTGTTACGTTGCCTCAAGTGTACTTATGTTTATTTTAATACAGTGTTTATAGATCCAAACCAAAAATGTTGCTGTAAATGTCAAATTGGTATTCCAAAATTTTAAATTTATACTAAGAAATTTAGTTAGAAATCAATAAATATTTTTTTTTCTCCAGAGTAAAACCTAAATTCATTTAAATTTATATTAAAAATCAATAAATTATTTTAGGAATAATTCCAATAAATCTTAATCCATTTTAAACTAGCCTTTTTCAATTTAAAATTTTTTAACCGATTATATATCAACGCTTCAAACCATTCACATTGATTAATTTCAAAAAAAAAAAAAAAACCCATGCATTGATTTTTCCTAAAGAGAAATTCAAAGCGAAATTCAGAAATTCACTAAGGAAAGGAAAATTGCCAGTATTAGTCATTCGATGCGGTACATAGGAAGATGGAAAAACGTAGCGGACGTGGAGGGGGCATTCCAGACTTTTTATTTATTCTGGAGAAAGGAGGTGCGACGGGTTATTAACCTTCATTTCTTACAATGTTTACTGCATCTTCCTCTGGATATCTCTCTGCCTTGTTCGCTTTGGTTTAGCCATCTCGCTGTATTTGAATCTAACAATCTTTGCTCCTTTCGGAGAGATAACGCTCCTTTATTGGAAGACATGAGGCTCTGCAGATTTTTTATATGCCTTTCTCTTATCGGGCTCTATTTTTCTGTCGCCGAAGGTGTTATTGGGGTTAATTGGGGGACTATGGCGATTCGTCCTTTGCCACCAAAGATTGTCGTTCAGATGTTGTTGGATAATGGAATTAAGAAAGTTAAGCTCTTTGATGCGGCTGAAAACACCATGAAAGCGCTTGCTGGGAGTAATATTGAGGTCATGATAGCTATTCCAAACAATATGCTTGCAATTATGAACGATTATGATGCTGCAAAGCATTGGGTTGATACAAATATTTCTCGATATATGTTTGAAGGAGGAGTCAATATCAAGTAAGCCTTTTTTTTAAATTTCTTTCTTGTTGGAGTTTTTTTTTTTTCTTTATTTTCATACTGTAACTTATAGAAGTGATGTTGTTTAATATTCTCATATGTGTATGACGATTTATTTTGATATTTCTTTGGCTACAAACTAGTAAGATTGGCTTTGTCAACTTTAGAATTTCTAACCATAACATCAATTCCTTCCTTGCAGATATGTTGCTGTTGGCAACGAGCCTTTCCTTGCCGCCTATAATGGTTCATTCATTAATACCACTTTGCCTGCACTCCAAAACATTCAGAATGCCATTAATGAAGCTGGCTTTGGATCGACAATCAAGGCGACCGTTCCCCTCAATGCGGATGTCTACAACTCCCCAGCGTCCAACCCAGTCCCTTCCGCAGGCAGGTTTCGTGCTGATATCAGTGACATCATGGACCAGATGGTTCATTTCTTCAAGCAGAACAATGCTTCATTTACTGTAAATATCTATCCTTTCCTGAGCTTGTATGCTAATAAGGACTTCCCCTTCGATTACGCCTTCTTTGAAGGCACCGGCAAACCTGTAGTTGACAATGGAATACAGTACACCAATGTGTTTGATGCCAATTTCGATACCCTCGTCTCAGCTTTGAAGGCAGCTGGAGTGCCTGATTTACCAATCATAATTGGAGAGGTAGGATGGCCTACTGATGGTGACATAAATGGCAATGTTGGTTATGCAGAAAGGTTCTACAATGGTCTTCTTCCACGTTTAGCTCGCAAGCAAGGGACACCGCTGCGACCAAATGCAGATATAGATGTTTATCTTTTCGGTCTTATTGATGAAGATGCAAAGAGCATAGATCCAGGAAATTTTGAGAGGCATTGGGGGATCTTTCGCTTCGATGGGCAGCCGAAATTCCCCATGGATCTTTCGGGACAACAGCCGCCGAGCAACTTGCTCGTGGAAGCAAAGAATGTCAAGTACTTGCCACAGAAGTGGTGTGTGTTCAATCCTGAAGCAGATAACTTGGATCAGCTTTCTAATAACATAAACTATGCCTGCACTTTCTCAGATTGCACTGCACTTGGCTATGGATCCTCCTGCAATGGTTTGGATACTAATGGGAATGCTTCTTATGCATTCAATATGTACTTCCAGGCACAAGGGCAGAATGAATTGAGCTGTGGATTCCAAGGGCTTGGCATGGTGACTACTCAGAATCAGTCTACTGATAAGTGCAATTTCTTCATTCAGATCGATTCTCCTGCAAATTATCTTACTTCTACGAGGCCAATTTTTGTGATGTTTTCGTTGATTTTACTTGTTTTGGTCATGTTTTAAATGATTTTTTTTATTCGGGATTATTTGATGGTGGTTATGCTATGTTATGTAGTGTCTACATTAATGAGTCTTGCATGAAGTTATTTGGCTGCCCCTTCTTAATAGTCGTATATATTTTATCTACTTATTTAAATTTAATCGTAATTTAAGCTAAAAATATAATTATTCATAAATTTAATTATATTTAATCTATTACCCCTCAATTAAATTCTAACTTAGAATATTTCAATTAAATTCTAACTTAGAATATTTTTATATAAATTAATATAGTGAACAATAAGTTTATTTACTTAATATAATAGAAGTTTAAATTAATTTGTTTTTTATTTTATATAAACGTTATTATTATATAAAATTTATTAGTTAATTACAAATAATAATTATTTATTTTTCAAATTAACATATCATTAAAGATTTGTTTTAATTTTTTATATGTTAATATAACTTTTTAAAATTATTAAATATTTAATATAGGATGTAATATAAATTTATACATTTAATGATAAGATTAAAATGAACATGTACTCTATTTTTTGTATAACTCTTACATTATATATATATATCATCAAAGGAAGACTGACGAACTACTATTCGTCCAACCAATTCATTCATTTTAAATAGGAAATTCTCAAATGAATAAATGATAATTTTTAGAGATATAAAATCAATTTTCTTATCTGTTATGATTTATTAATTAAAGTTTTGGAATAATTTTCTGTCTTATTTTTAATATTATAGTCAATCCATCCTCAAATATAATAAATCCTAGCAATATCATAGGAGCCTTAAAATAATATTTTTATAAATTCAGAAGTAACATTTTGGCTTTGTAATCCTCTAATATTTTTCTGAGATGTATTGTTTAAGTTAAAAGATATCACCAATCATTCATATTCATATATATATATATAATCATCAAATGTATATTTTCAATAAGAAGGAAGGTCCAAAGCAACCGCTCACACTTTGTCAAATGAATTCATTTTTAAGTGATTTATTAACTTACCCTTAAGGTCAATATATTATGTGTGCTTCATCATATAATAATATAACATTCATAAAATTATCATATATTTTAAAATCTCTCTCTCTCTCTCTCTCCACTCAGAAGATGGATCATTTCTAATTTTTTCTAAACAAATCTTTTTAAGTCCACCTCTACCTTTCTTAACATAAAATAAATCTAATACATCTACTCTCCTAATCGGGTCATCGGAACGCCATCATTTTATTTGACCAAACCATATGAGGCAACTCTCTCTAATCATATCTTTCAATGGAGTTACTCTAACTTTTTCACATCTATTTTCATTTCGTATCCAATATCTAAGAGTAAAGCCACTCATCCACTTGTGCATCCTCATCTCTGCAACACTTAACTTAAAATTATATTTCTCTTCTAATGCCCAACATTCTGCACCATAAAGTATTACAGATCTCACCACCATCTTATAGAATTTTCCCTTAAATTTGTTACTGGGTTGAACTAAAATAGATCTGAGAAGGATAGAGAGATGGCGAAAAAAAAAGTGATAAAATCTAAGTCATAGTTGATCGTTCTTCTCTCACAAATTATATCATCCTAAAATTCAACATGAATTTCTCATATAGAAAACCAAAATGAACCAATCAAAATCTAGTAGATTAAATAGGTCATAGGCAGAACCTATTACAACATATATAATGAGGAATATCTTGTGATATATTCAGCCAAAATAAATGGCCTCCTACTTTCAATAATTTACTTCGACTGATGTACAACATTCAACCAACACATAAAGGTTCCAACCATCAACCACCTCACGCATTAGGTTCACCAACTCTGTCACAATCCATGAATGTGATGGATTATAAAGGGAAAAATTTTATATCAGGCAAAGCACTACACGAAAACAAAATATCAGCTCAAAACTTACTGATATTTTATTATAAATGGAAGATATTTATAATAAATACCCTAAAACAAGCAGAGTCGAGAGTGTTCATATAAGGATGAAACCATATATAAGATCATAACGAGCAAAGGAAAGGAAATTTGGTTGCATGAATTCAAACCAGAGATCAGTCACACTTATCTTTATTATGAAACAACGAGCAGCATTCAGCAAGGAAAGAAGCTACAATGTTGAGAAGACAACTAGCTTATCTTTGGAGGACTGCACCTCTTAAGAAAGGCAGGTTCTGAAATTTTGTTCCACTGAAAGCATTCCTCAATGCAAAGCCATATCAGATCTTTTCAATCTTTTCAGCTTTCACAACAGGGTTTGCTTTGGCTATAGCTTCTTCACCTGCACTCTTGAAGTCAAATGAGCATTTGTGAGACTCGGGGTACCGATGATTCGAGCAAAACATGTCTCCGCATCGACATTTGAACCCCGTCAACCCCACCTTCTTTCGGCAAAGCAAGCACCGGTTTGGTTGTTGCTTGTTACTTGGCTCCTCTGATGGTTTCTTTCCCAGATTCCCAGTAATTTCCAAATTCAACTCCTTTGATTCATCTGGAACTGGTTCAACTATGGCAGAAGAAGACGTAGCAACAGTTAGCTTTGTTGCTGCTATCACTTGTTGCTTCATCAAGAGATCTCTATAGCATTTAGAGCAAAGATTTCGAGTCATTGCACTCCCAAAGAAACCGCAGTTGTTTGCACAAAGTATTGGGCTTTCACGCATTTGGAATTCAGTCTCATTGATCTCCTTATTCCAGCTATCCTGGGCCATTCCCGCAGAGAATGGTAGTTCAACAAATGCAATGAAATGGCCACTTGATCAGATATCACTAAAGGGATTAGCCTCCAATAGAAGCAATCCCAGTTCTTCTTACTCTTCTTTGGATGTGCCAAGGTCAAGTGTCCCTGAATTCAAATAAATCTAAGAGAGCAGGCCAAGCACGCACAATTATAAACTGTTCACAGATGATCCTCCTTACACATCTCCCAAACTAAAAGCATCAAAGAAATTTCAAAGACCTACAAGAAGATACAAGAATTGCAACTAAATATGGAGAATATCACAAAAACATAAAAAACACCAAAGGTTGGCCATCAACAACAATAAACGTTATTCATAAGTTCAAATAACATAATTCACTGGATGATGTAAAAACCATAGCTCTCATCAATCAAATAGTGTTCCTTCTGGCCCAACAAATCTCATGATTTTATCTTCTTGGTGCAACATCACAAGAGATGGCAATCATAACGAGTTGTTTAGACACAAGTAGAACTTAGAGAATCAGATAAATCTATATTTATTAAATCTTGAAAGAATTGAAACCCATAAAAATGCTTGGTATAACAATTGTTAAATATTGATGAATCCTGTTAAACTATTCAACTATTTCTTTCAGAATTTAAGAGTTGTGAGTGGGAGAAATTCTTAAATCTTGTGAATTGTGAGATTTAACAAATCTTAGATTTAAGCAATAATAAGGCTAAAACATGATTCAATAAATCAATTTAATTTCAGCTATATCTAGCTTAAATCTTAACTAAAATAAGGTAGCAAACAACCCTTGAGTGTCATCCAACATTAGCATGCATAACTTTCAAATTCTTTACAGAACTCCTACCATTACATGTAAATACCTCTGCATGTTAAAGGGTTCATCTTCATTGTATTTAGCTGATCTTACGCATAATCCAAACAGTCATTAAATTGTTTCTAACTAAAATCAGGAGTGCCAGCCAGAAAGGAGGTTGTCCTTCATCAAACGCTCATACAAACGTGATTAATAAGTTCAATCAGCAAGAGCAAACTATACACAAATAACCCATGCTTGATCTTGAAAAAAAAAGGACCTCAAACAGATCTTAAATCGAAATCCATAAAAATAAAATAAAATTATGTTTTAGGGTTTTCGATGGGAGGGAAAGCTAAAACCTCAAACCCAAAATTTCAATCAATAATCATCAGAATTACATCCAAGAACAGGTAAAAAGCCGTATAGCCCAAAACCAACCGGATTCCACTTAAAATCCAACCACAATTAAAATAACGTAGTAAACAAACATAAAGAAAGATCAAACACGAAGCGTAAGTCTAGATAGCCGAATTACAAGATAAAAGATCGATTCAAAAAAATTAGGGAAGAAATCGGAACTGCCGACGTCAATAACCCCAGAAAGGTGATCGAGGGTAGAGGAAATCGATTAAGGGTTGACCTCGGAATCCACAGGTGGCCTGCTAACAAAAGTTCAGAGAAAATTGTGAAAGCGGAGAATGAAGATTTCGTTCAAATCGGGCTAGAGCTCTGTTAGGGTTTTAAAGAAATAGAGAAGATTTTTTCATAAGTTTCCTTGCCCGAGTAACTCGCCTTCTCAGGAGAAATGCTACGATGCCCTTTTCATACCGTAAAAAAAATCATGGATGTGTTGGCATTGACGTGGCATAAGTAACCACGTCAGATTAAAAGGCAAACCAGATATAGTCGGACATCCATTAAAAATTTTACGCGTGGAATGTACTCGTGTCCACAGAATTTTAAATTAAGCATATCAAAAACGCAGGTAAAGCGCACAGTCCACGTGGTAAATTTTTATTGGATATATTTCTAGATCAGGTGTCCGATCTTAACTTTTGGTATATAATAACATATAATATTATGGTCATATTAATCATTGAAATGTAAATTTTCAACTGAGTAATTTAAGTTGTACTAAATTTTAAATATTTCAATGAGTATGTTATCACTAATTAATAGAAATTGTTATAGAATAATAAATGTTTTAAAATGATGCTGTGAATATTGCTCATGAAGATTTTCCGATTTGCTATTGTTGAATATTGCGTATATAAGTTTACCCTGTGAACACTACTATTTTCATTATACATGTAAAATTCTATACATTTATATATGATTTTGAATGTTGTTTATATATGTTGAAAGTGCTAATATTTCTATATTTATACGTTTAAAAATATTTGAAAGGACAGAGTAAGGAGAATACAAGTAGTAGCTATTGATATTTTGTGTGCAATACAAGTTGAGTTATAAAGGCTTGTGCACGCCATAATTCCTCAATATATACGTGATGAACATATAGAGATATATGTGGAAGTGGAGTTATAAGAGGTTAAATGAAAGGATGATCGAGTGGAGGTTCAAATAGAAGTAAAGTTAGAAGAGACCAAAAGAAAATATGATTTCAATTGAGAGATTTCAATTGGCTTTTCCTTCCTATCAAGTGAGCATCGTCGTCATCCTCCTCCTGGCCTCCTCTCACCTTTATCAGCATCTTTCTCCAACAATTGGTTGACTTTTGGCTCTAGAGGGGAACTTCATTGGTAAGGCTACATCAATAAAAATAAAGTAAAAGAACTTCTGTGGAAACTCATCCTATTGACATCAACATATGGAATATTGGAATTCTTCCTATAGAACTCATCCTAATGTAGAAAATCTAAATAAAGAGAAAGAGAACTTGAAAGCTAGAAGTTGCTCCAGAAGGTTGTAGCCAATATACATATTTCAAATTAAGATCATTCATCTCAATGAAGTGGATCACTCTGACGAGAAGGCAAGTGGCTTGGTTGAAATCAGCTATTTCTCAGCCAACTTTTTGAAACAAAATTTGTTTTTCCAGTTCTTTCTTTTGTTCTCCAAACCGACCATTCGAATGTAATCGGAGAAGAGTGAGACAAATCCATCTTTAAAGGCATTAATGGAGAAGAGGTGTCGAATAAGAAGAATTCAACCTTCTCGACAGCTAAAACTTGGTATGAATCATTGAAAATGCACTTCAAGTGGATCAAGTTCATGTTAGCTTTTGAGATCTTGGATGTTGAAGACAATGAGCAGAGAAAATAAGCCTTGTAACAAGACGCTCATTCTATCATTTTTTTCTCTCTATTTCAGATTCTTTTGAATTTGGCTTGTTGAGTGAGACAAACGCTTGATGTTGTTGTTGCTCGAAATCTGTTCATGCACATCATCATTACTTCTTATTGCATATTAATGACAAAACTCTGAAAAAAACAGGTTAAAGAATTGATAGTACAGCAATTGCTTCAGAAGTTAGCAAGTTCTTTTATGAAGCTCTACGCATTAGTGATTTTGAAGGAGGAACTTTATTGGTTTGTACCATTGTTTGACAATAGGAGAAATGGTGGGTTCAAGATTTCATCATACTTAAAAGGAGTAAAAATATGAATGCTTCCTTCTATGGTAACTTCACTTCAAAAACAACTAAATTTGCAAGCCAGGAGTTCTTAGATACTTCTACTTCCAATTATATTCTTCATATCAGCAAATTTGTACATGTATTTCTTATTTGTTCAGGCTCCTATGCATTTCTTCCCAAATTCAACTCAACCATCTACAAACAGTAGAAGATGATCTTGCAGGAACTGGAGAGCAGCTGCATTCAATTATTATTATTATTATTATTTTCTGTAAAGAGATACCAACTACATGATTTTAGCAGCTCTTGTTGTGAGATTAAATACTAATATTTTACATTTACTATTTTACTTTTCTGATCATATGAGAATAGATTGAGAGAGTTCAAAGAAATGATTGTCTCTCTGCATGAAAATCTTGATTGGACAGAACCATATATACTATCAATTGATTAAGATAAACTTCTTAGTAAAAATAATTAGAGAATGATAATTTATACAGCTGACACAAAAAAATTTGGGATAATACTAATGATGATGATCATTATGCTCTTAAGTCTGTTACTTCATCATATTTGCATGAGAAGATGAATGCACTTCAATGCATGTGGAATTTCAGTTGATTTTAAATTAAATAAATGAATTGTTAATGTTCTTTATAGTATATTTAATCATTTTGATTGTTAAAATATATTGATAAATTGGATTTAAGAGCTGTTTAATGAATTCCTCACACTACAGGAAAACAACTCATTTCCGACAGAATTTCCGGCGGAAATAAATTTGACGGAAAGTCCGACGGATTTCCGACGGAATATTTCCGACACCAGACATAGCTTATGTTCGGTACTTCAAAGTACCAAGCAGTATTGAGCTCGGTACTGTAAAGTATTGAGTACCGAGCAGTACTGAGCAGTATCGAACACGGTACATGCTTGGATCTCCTCCTATGAATTAAGCCTCTCTTGGATCTCCTTCTTATGGTCAATCGTTCTTCTCATAAAAATACCCGATTCTCTCGACTGCGTCGACGCTCAATTGCCTTTAGTTACTCACTCTTTCCCTCAATTTGATCGCAAATCCTTATTACAATTCAACGCTAAGAAAAATATAGAAAATAACAAATAAGAAACCGATCATACAGACATCGGAGCATAAGATTTTAAGTATAAGGAGATCAATTCAACCAATATAAATGGCTACATAATCTTAATACTAACTAAATAATTTATCAAGGATCTAGACCTTTGATTCACTAAATATTTAACAAATTATATACTTATTAGATCTTTGGTTCTAAAATTTTGTTCATTTATGATCATATTAATTGAACCAATAGTCAAATTGAGCATGACCTAACTCACTATGAAATATATGTAACAATTTGAATTTGTGAAAATAATTGAAAATTGAAAAAAACTTTTGAATTTATGTTTGAACTGTAGCGTGCAGTATTAGGCCTCCAGCACATTATTGTTTTAGTACTTGTAAATAATTATAAAAAAAAATTAAGTGGAGGAGGAGAGAGAAAGGAAAATCTGGATTTTTTGGTCTGCGTATCGTTTTGTTACTTTTTACAAAAAATATTCAGATCAAAGTAGGAGATTCTAATTATATCTTTGTTTTCAAAGATTTTTATTTTGACTGCTAACTTCTCATCAAAATCGATTTTACTGCATTTTTTACTTTATTTAACTTTTACATCACAATTTTTTGTATATCATCGTACTAATTATCCTGAATATTTTAATTGCAACATTTATGAATTTAACCGAGTAAAATAGAAGTTATTGAATTTTATATTATTTCATTGCTATGATTTGACTGTTGGCAGACATATTGATTCTTTATCATGCTTTGAGTTCAATTGTAGGATTTGATTTCTTGCTAGGCTATTGAGCTCATTATATATGGTAAAATGATTTAAGGTCATGACAAGAGAGAATGAGTGTGAGATTGACCAGGATGCATTAGATTCAAACATTTAAGCGTCTTAATGATATTACCCACTTGATGAACTAAAGCTTGATATTGTTGTTGTGTAAGTATAGAACCTACTAACATTCTAATAAAATATTTGATAAATATTTTTAATTTAGATAAGTAAGAAGAAGAGAGAAAATGAATAAAAATGTTACAAAATTAAGATTAAAATAAGAGAAAAAATATTTAAGAAAATAATAAAATTCTTAGGCCTAAAAAATTATATGATAAAATTTATTATAGATTATTAATAAATTTTGCAACCAAACACCTTGAGCCAGCTGGATAGCTTGTTTGTTGAAATTCATTTTCAACTACTATTTGGAGGGTAATTCCGTCATTTTAAAATCCACTTTAAGCCAATCGGCATCTGTCTGTTATCTCTTGGTGACACCGGCTACAGCCGGTAAGTCCCTATAAAATGTTGGTTCGGCGGAACAAAACCCCCCCGTCGCTCGTTTAAGGTCGCCTCTCTCTTTCTCTCTCTTCATTCCCCTCTTTTATCTCTCGCTCTTTTCAGATCAAAACGAAACCCTAGAACAAAACCCCCCTCTCTCTGCCTCCGGATCCCATCTCCTTCCTATAAAAGACGCAGTTTTTAAATTCTCCACTATAAATCCACCTCGCTACTCCTTTTCCCGCTCAGATCCAACGTTTTCTTGCTTCCGATCGTCGCATCCTGCCTCGAAACAGGGAAATCACGGATCGGCTACCTCTGTGATCTCTGTTTGAGATCTAGAGTATTGTTAGCCTCTGATCTATCCAAAGAGCTGACAACCCCAAGGAAACATTTCTTTTCGACGCTACTTTTGTTTTTTCCCGTTGCCTCAAGAACCCCTTTTATAGGAACTGTTTGGCCGAACCTGTTTTCCCCTACAAAGCCGACCCGCTTTCTGCTGTCAAAGAGTGTTCTTTCTTGATCTTACTGATATTTCTTGAGCATCGTTTGGTCTGCGAAGAAAGCTGATCATATTTAGATTAAGGATAGGAAAGTAGGTATACGAGTGATTTAGAATCTGAGCGTGTGTCAGGCTTTACTAAGTCAGCTGCCTTGTTTGGCTAGCGAACATATCCATACAAAGAGCTTTGTAGAGAGGAGTATGGCGGATCAGGGCTTGGAGGGGAGCCAGCCGGTTGATCTATCTAAGCATCCGTCTGGTATTATTCCCACGTTGCAGTAAGTTTCACACGCCCTTCTTTCGGATTTGATGTCGGATCTTATAAATAAGCTGATATAGAAACCTCCGAACTTTGATTTTGACCAGATAACGCGCACTAATAAGTGGAATAGCCAATGCAATCCATCATAGGAAAGCAGTGCTATCCCGATAAGAATCCCATAGCAAACACAATATTTTGGGGTCAATATTATGTTCAATTTATCTTAATTGAATAAAACAATATTAAATAGAGCATTCAACTTGATTATGATCTTATTTAAACAATATAATATTAGCTAGCAAGATCAGTGGTGATTATGATGTTTATTTTTATTATCATTTTTAAAATTTTGAGATAGTTAGAATGGCCTTCTTTTTTAAAAAAAAAAATTAGATGTCATTTATAATTTTTTTTACTAAACATTGTCAACAAACCATCAGCATATATTCTAATAGTAAGAAATATTACAAGAATTATTCATCGTTGACTGCAAGTTATAAATGCATGTGAGATATTTGCTTTCATGTTAATTTTGGTCAAATTTGGATATGGCATGGCCATAGTTCTTGTTTGTTAATCTTATAAGCCGCCCCTTGTGTTGCGATTTGGCTATGTTGTAAAGCCAATACATCTCATGCTTATTTTATTTGAAATAGCACCATTATTCTGCTTAACCCATGCTATCATTGATATAAAAATTCCGTGGATCAAAATAGCATTGTTGTGAATTTATTACTCGTGCAAAACTCTTTCTTTAGCCTTCCTTCAGGCTTTTCTCCTTCACACTGAGCTGAAAATTATAATGTTGCTTGTCTCATTGGGTGAAATGAAAACCACTATTGTATGGAATGTTCTGTGGGCACTGCTCATTCATGCTGAGCTAAAAATAATGTTATTTGTCTTGTTGATTAATTTCCAGGAATATTGTTTCAACTGTTAATTTGGATTGCAAACTGGACCTTAAAGCTATTGCCTTGCAAGCTCGAAATGCTGAGTACAATCCCAAGGTATGAGATTGGTTTATTTATGTTTGAAGAATTTATATAAATATCACTTAAAGGTCTCAAATGTACATATCTTACACTCAAAGTTTCTTATTTACACACATAACACCTGAAAATTTTAAATAGATAAAAATGCCACTGCATGAAATACTTGCTTGCTATGTCATTTGACTTTGTCTCCATATCAAATACTCAGGTACCTCAAGCATTCGTCTAGGTTTATGACCCCTTCTCAATCCAAGCACAGGATATGAATAATTCGTTCATTACAGTAAAACAAGCAGCAAACCTGTAATGCTCTCAAGAACAAACCATCAAAAACTTCAATAAATTAAAAAGAAAAAGTTAATCAACCGACAGAGATATCAATAGGAAAAAAAGATAAAAAAGCATTCAAATCTAACTTCACAAGGCCAGACTAAATAAATAGAACGTGCCAGAATAGTGCTTGTTGCACTTCTCTTCCGCTACGTACCAAACCAAATCGAAAAACCAAATCCTCATAATCACCCTTTTCAACTCATTGGAGTAACATATTTCACTTAGCTGAACAGATACCAAGTAAGCCCAATCTGCATATTCATATGTAGATCTCTCGCATTCTCACATAGAATTGAGAGAGAGAGAGAGAGGGGTACAAAGTTGCAAGTGAATGGCATAGCAATGGAGATTTCGGGAGTGTCATTTTTGATATATTTAAAAGTTTTAGTTACATGCTTGTAAGTAAGAGGCATTAAGAGTTAGATATGTAAATTTAAAACTTTCAAGTGTTATGTGTGCAAATCACCATTATATTTTGATCTTTGACTTAACATGCTATTTACATTCTCTTGCTTCCTTTTTGTCTGATTAATTTTTTTAATGAATAATTTAGGGTGAACTGGATTTCTATCCATTTTTCTGATGAAAGGTAAAGTGTTTTGTGGTTTGTCTTCGTTCATGCTAACATGTCTTCTAATTGAAGCATGGAATTTATGCGCTTGTATTAACTTAAATAGAAATCAAATTAGAGTACAAACTATTACCTTAAGGTATAATGGAGAAATGTGAGATACTTCGGGCTGTTATTAGCTTCAAATAGGTGCACGGTAAATGAATGCTGGTAAATCAGAGTTTGATATTTGATTTTACCTGAAGTTTCTGCAATTACTTCACAGAAACTAGCTTTAGACTACTCCTTTCATGGAACCCTTGCAAACCAACTGCCAATTGGTTATAGTAACTCTGTAGTGCTTTTTTAAGTCAGTAAACCTTCACTTTGTTTGTTTGTTTGTTTTCATTCATTTTGGATACTTATGTTTTTCTTTTCACATCGTGTCACTGTTTTGTAGCGTTTTGCTGCAGTTATAATGAGAATTAGAGAACCCAAAACCACAGCATTGATCTTTGCGTCGGGTAAAATGGTGAGTTTTCAAGATAAGCTATCATGTCTTCTTCCTTGGTTTGTGATGTTCTCCTTGTGTCACTGCATGCGCTAAATAGCTCATCATATATAGGCATCGTATTGTTAGGTTTATTTTTTGCTTATTTTTTCAAATATTAGTTCTGTTTATTTATATAATTTACTTAGAAATTCACCATTTTGCATGGGCATTTTTCTACGACTTTATGACTGAGTTATGGAGCATCTTATAGTCTTATATAAATATATTATGATTTTATTCGTACAATACATCAACAGCACAACATCAATACAATTGGACCAAACATAGGCTTAATTAGTCTGGTAGCCCACTTCTTATAGAATGATGCACAATTTAATGTAATCTAGTGTTAAGATTTGATCGGTCTCTAATATCGTGGAGTTGCATGCATGTGGATTGTGGATAATGGTTTTGTATTTTTACATAGATTTGCATTTATTGTGCAGAATATATAGTTTCTTGTATCAATGTCATCATCAGTTTTATCCCAACTGTATGTGGTTTGTGTTGTGAGTTATTATTATTATTATTATTATTTTCATATACATATTGCCTTAGGTTTTAAATTTTTTTTAAATCATTTTGAATTTTTTCAATTTATTTAATATTAGGTCTACTTATTTTTCTTCCTAATCCTCTAGCATTAATTTCATCAATTCATTTAGCGGGCAAATTTTCTATCATTTGTACACATTCAAACAACATGAGGCTATTGTTAGACACTTTGTCTTCAATAGATGTCACTAACTTTTCATGGAATATAATCATTCCTAATATTGTTATAAATTTTTGTGACATTATTAGTTCTGCCACACTTAATAAGACACAATGGAGAAAAATGATTCATGTAGTCGACCCCACGTAGTGGGATAAAGGCTTGATGTTGTTGTTGTTGTATTAGTTCTGCCACACTTAACTCAGATGTTAATTATTTCTTTATCACCCAACATTTTGATCTGTATAACATTACTAGCCTAATTATAGTTTTAAAATTTTATATTTTAACCTTTATGATATACTCTTATATAAATTTCGCCGGACACTTGTTCATTTTAACCATCCAATCTTGACCCTACTGGCTATATCCTCATCTATATCTCAGTTTTTCATTATAATAGATTTAAGATATTTAAACCTATAGCCTTGTCTTATAACAATATTGAATAATAATTCTTAACATCATAATCATTAAAATTGCATATTACATATTCAGTCTTTGTTGTACTAAATTTATACTCTTTATTTGTTGTACTAAATTTATACTCTTAATGCTCTATTTTTTTTTTTTCTAAAATTTGTTCATTTTAATGGATATCTTATTAATTAGAATTATATCATGTGCAAAAAAAGACGTATTAAGATATTTCATTTTGAATATCTTTTGTATGCATCCTAGTAATCAATGTAAAAAGATGAATTTAATGTTGATCTTTGATGTAAATATGTGATAATTAAAAATTCTTGGGCTATTTTTTTTAATTTTAAGCTTATTATAACATCATCAAATATTATGGCTTTTGTTTTATTGACTATACTCTTTGTCAATAATTATAAGCCTCACTAATATTTAATTTCTGTCATCTTTTAAAAGCAAATATATTTTCCTTAATAAATTTTTTTCACTTTTCATTCTATATCACCTATAGGACACAATGGAGAAAAGGATTCATGTAGCCTATCCCATGTAGTGAGATAAAGGTTTTTTGTTGTTGTTGTTATTGTTCATTCTACCAACAAATATCTTTATTAGTGTATCATATATATAGTTAAATGTACTTCCATAATTTTAATTTCTTATGAGTGTTCGGCAAAGGAACTAGAAACTAGAAACTTACTACTTGATTGTGTTGTGTTGTCACTCTTTATTGTATTTCTACGAAGTTTCATCCACCATTGAAGTATCATTAATGATCCTCATGCAATTTGAATCTAAAATAATTTATGCAGAAAACTGTTAGCTTTTATAGACTGTAGCCACCGGCCGTGCCTTTTCTTAGCCTTATATTTTCTTACAAATTCTGATAATGTTTGGCTAAAACTAAACTATTTTGTATCAGGTGTGCACTGGAGCTAAGAGTGAAATACAATCGAAGCTTGCTGCTCGGAAGGTACTAAGCTATTTTCAACATCCGTGGTTTAGGCATCATTGTACTAGGCCTTGTGGGCATTGTTGTTTGTAGTTTTATGGGGCGGCTTATCTAACACAAATGTCTTTGCTTAGTATGCTCGTATTATCCAGAAGCTTGGCTTTGCTGCCAAATTCAAGGTAATTACATCTCTACTTTGGGATCATTTGGTTGCTTGCAAATAGAAATTATATTTTAGAAAGTGAATTTGATTTTAGCTCATTCTGAGTTTGGAAATGAAATCATCATTTTTTGTGGGAGTTTTGCTGAGATTTCTGAATTTTGAAATGAATGTTATCTTAACTAGATCCCAATCAAATGAGATTTAACGAACTTCATCATTTTTTAAAACATAATTGAAACTTCAAGCAACCAAATGAGACCTTTGTGATAATCTGATTCTTGTTGCATTTTATTTTTTCCAGCACTTTTATATACTAATTCTTCTTCACTTGTTGAATTCAGGATTTTAAGATTCAAAACATTGTCGGTTCTTGTGATGTAAAGTTTCCCATAAGACTTGAGGGCTTGGCTTACTCTCATGGGGCTTTCTCCAGCGTAAGTTATAATTGCTGATTTTTTTTATATTCCCATCCACTTTTTTATTTTTCTTTATTATTGTCACTGACAACTACATGATGAGATTAAAAACATCTTTCTCTTTACTGCTCCTCTGTTATTTCGTTATCGAGATCTTTAGTTTTGGTTATCTTTCTCTAATTGAATGACATTTAGGCTTTTTATTTTTTCTTTTAACAGTATGAACCAGAATTGTTCCCTGGTTTGATTTATCGGATGAAACAGCCCAAAATTGTACTGCTCATTTTCGTCTCAGGAAAGATTGTTCTTACTGGAGCCAAGGTAAGATTATTGTTTGGACGTTATGCTTTAGGGTTTATTTCACGTTCAAAATTTGATTGATCTCCTTCCTTTCTGTCTCAGGTGAGAGAGGAGACATACACTGCATTTGAGAATATATATCCTGTGCTGACAGAGTTTAGGAAAACCCAGCAATGGTAATCCCCCATCTCTCTCTCCACAAAATCACTAGAAATGTTTTAGAAAAGCCATTATACTGACGCCCTCACCAACCTGACTGCTGAAAAAAAGGACATAAATGTATAATCAACACTGATTCATTTCA